TATCTCTCTCTCTCTCTTTTTTTTTTTTTTTTTTTTTGCTTATAACATATAAAGATTTAGTTTCTTACAAATAAAATATTTTCTGGATAGGTTAATATAATCTTGCATGTCTGAAATTTCTTCTGTTTTATTAAAAATAAATATTTATTGAGCTTTTACTTCATGTCAGGTTCTATGCTAAGTTCATCATACACGTTTCATCACCCCATGAAGTAGGTTCCATTTTATGGATGAGAGAATGGAGGTTTTGAGAGCAGACGTCGTTGGCCAAAGCTAGGAGGCAACTGAGCTGGGATTTACACTTGTTTGCCCTATTCCCTACCCAATACCGCTAATCATTATGCTGTGTTCCTTAGTTTTGACACAAATTAGAAGAGGGTTTTTAATCCATCTTAATTTGGGACTTGTTTTACTTTCAAAGTGATTTCTCTCTTCCCTCCTTATCCTTTCTATATTTTCTAAAGCTGGAGGAATTGAAAGAACTGTAACACTATCATGTGTTTCATTCTATAAACAGTCCCAGACCATTTGAAAACCCATATTTCTTTTGAAACTCAATGTACTAGTTTAGTGTTTCGTTTTCTCCCCTCTCAGCATACTCTTTCTGTGCTTTCTTTGTGTAAGGATGGCAAAAATGGAACTTTTAATGTTGTCGAACATTCTTATAAATTAGTTTGGTTAAAGGAAAAAAATCTTGGTTTAGGATTTAGGAGATTTGAGTTCTAGTTCTGCCTCTGAAATTTACTCCATTATGGAAAAAACAATTAATACTATTTTGCCACATTGTTATTATAAAGTAAAAGATCAAATATAGAAAAGCATTTAAGATCATAGAAACAGAGTTTCTATGTGTGATTGCTGAATCTTAATAGCTGTAGTGTATTATTGGAACCAGACTTTAAGCAAAATAATTTTGGGCTTATTGTTGCTTTGAGAAGATTTGTTTAAGATAACTATAATTCATTTGGCTAGGCCTTAACGTAATGCCAAACTTGGACTGCTGCAGATTTACGTAGGGCATATAGGCAGAGAGATAATCAAATTGCTATCTGAATTATCTTGTAGTAACTGAGTGATTCTTAAGTGACTCTATTGTATCTATTGATTAGGTAAAAATTAAGGAGTGTTTTTACTATCCAAGTTGCATAAAGTGAGACAAAAGATTGGGAAGGAAAACTGGATTATGAAAGTTACTGTGCTAGAGTGGAAGAGAAGAGGAAAAGGAGAATTTCAGGGGAAATGAGGCTCAAAAGGGTCATTGAGAAACAACCTGAGAATTGAATTATGTATTAGTAGGGTCAGCTAACTGTTGAGTGTGATTTTACCATATTGAAAATGTCATGCTCTTGAACTGGGTCAAGTATACCTTAAAGAAATTTAAAGAAGTTGGCAGTGCTCTGCTATTTCTGGAATACAATGAACTAAGGGGTGAATAGCTTAAGAGATCATCCACAGACATGTCAAAAGTTCAAATTCAAATTTATGTCAAATTTATGTTCAATTTTATGTCTCCAAGACACAAGGCATGAGGGATAGCATGTGTACGTTTGTGCGTGTTTGTTTCATGTTAAGAGGCATGGGAGTGTTGGGGTTGGCCATTCTGGCAAACTCACTAATGGCTGTTGTTTCACTGAGCATTTTTAGCATCTCCCAAACTATAGTCATTCAGGTACTACCTTCAACAATTTTTGCCATATCCATTTTCTTTTTTTTTTTCTTTTTACTTTTAAACATAAATGTATTTTAAGCAAGAACTTTGTATATTTGTTGAAATCTCAGGTTAGTTGTGGTAGTTTTTCTAATGTACATTGAAATAAGTTTATAAAACTAGCATAAAACCTGTCCATTTGTGAGGCCATCTAAAATTATCTTGAGAAACACTCCTTTCATTTAATTTTCGCTCTTTGTAGAGTGCCTAGAGTAGACTGTCAAAGGGGAAATCCAAAGTCTGGAAATGGGGATTTTTTTTGGTGAAATTTTCTACACATTTAAAATGATGGATGGGAATTAGGTCTCCCTTTAGGTTAACCAGCTGAAAACAAGTTTGGGTTAGACTTTAGTTAATTTTCATTTCTTCTTTTTTTAACCACTGTGTAGTTTTTCGGCTACATAAGTTTCTAGGATTCATGAGTGTTTTCTCCCATTACTTTCCTAGCAGAAATGTTTTTCTGGAAAATTCCAAACTTGCCTTTGCTTTAAATAAAGGGGAACAAAATTTCTCCTCACTCATTTTAGTGATGAGATCTACTCAACCAGCTTCCTAAGCTCAAGGGTTTAGTTCAGTGTAGCCAGCACCCTGCCTTTTATATGCCAGGTTCAATGCTAAGCTCCCTGGTGCAGAGGAAGAAGGTTCCTGTTTTCTGTGAGGCATGGCATGTAAACAGTTGAGAGAGTCCAGTGTGATACAGGTATGTGCCAGACACAGAGAAATTAGCTCTTTGGGTAGATGAGCAAAGACCTAAACAGCTGGGAGAACAGTGGGGGTTGGGCACATTGAGCCCCCTATGAGGGCGGTAGCATAGTTTGTGGCACTCAGAAGAAGCCACAGGCAGGGGCCTCAGGCAGTCTTTGTAGAGCATTGTTCTGCAGAATTCTGTGGGTTCTGCATTGGCCCACATGGTATTCTGAAAGGAGTTAATGTTTCAAATGTGTGGTAACTCACAGCCTTGCTGCTCTGACACCCTCACCTGCATTTGTAGCAATAACTAGGGAACCTTCAATAACAGCACATTGACATGGCATCATTCCCAAAACAACATCTTAATGAGGTTCTGTGCTTCGGGAGCAACTCTTTCTTGTTTAAATATACTCAGGCATGCCCTGTGTAATGGGAAGCAATGTGGCAGAAGTGGCTGGGGTCATAGTGTGAGTTTTGTCAGGTTAGGCACATAACCACAGTGAGATGGGCTGGGGCAGCCCTGACTGTTTCAGTCAGTCACTGCCTCTGTGGCTGGGTAGGGGGGTGGTATGTATTATAGGGGAGGAGAAGGAGAATAAGATGAATCAGAATCTGGGGGTGTCAGCAGAATCTGAAATAGAAAAACTCTAATCTCCATGTGTCTTCTTACGCATACCCTCATAGTCTGAGCCACCCCCACTACCCACCTATGCCTTGAGCTCTCCCACACATTCCAAAACCAGTAGACAAGAGATCTTCCATTGCATGCTTGTGAGGGTCAATTAGAGGAGAAACTACCAACCTGTTTTTACCCCACAATGATAATTGCATTGATGACAGCATCCATTCTTAGACTTTTGGGGATTTTTATATACATAGGCTTTTTTTCCTTTTAAAAAATGGTTAGCAGTATTGTTCTCTGAAAGGAGGGAGAAATAAGCCCCTAGAGGGACTGAGCATGTCTTCAGACCCAAGGACTTCTCTCTGTTGCCAGAGACCACACCCCTCCTCTGGCGTAACCACAGAAGACTATTTCTTTTGGCTGAAGTCTCTGACCTTGAAGGATCCAGCCAGCCAGCCGCCTTGAAGCTTTGGGTGCTAGACAAAATACGGTCAGAGTCCAAGAGTTATTTCTATTTTATATGTCTTATTTAGCATGGCTATATTAAATTTTTTTATTCATCAGAAGTCCTGCTCTTGAAACAAATGTAAAACACTTCACAAGACCATTGCCACTGAGTTTCATATAGATGTAGTCAAAGCACATTTGGAAATATAAAGAATTCCAGAATAAGGGGTCATCCTCAAGTGATGCCTGATTGCCTTTCTCTTGGAGATGCAGCAAGTTGAGAATGTGGATTGATCTTCAATGTCTGTTAAATTCTTAGTTTTCTTTCTTTTGAATGTGACAAGGCCATTTTTTTCCTTGGAAAAACAGTTTGTGTTCAGCTTGGGAGGTTGATTTTTCACCATCAGTTTTTCCCTTTAATAATTGAAAACCACTGTTCATTATTTACATAAAACTGTCTTTTTCTGGTCTGCTTTCTATAACCTTTCCCCTCTTAAGAATTTTAAGAATTCCCTGACTTTCCTCTAGGGGATTTTATGCCTGCTTTATCCCAGATGTGAGACATAGACTATTAGGCTGAGGCTTTTTTTTTAAGTGTTTCTACATTTGAAAGACGTTCTTTTAATCAGTAAGCAAATCTGCCACTGAGAAAAAGGCTTTTAAGAAAGTCAAGTAGTTAAGAGAATATGTGAGCTTGGTTTAAATTTCAGCCTTACTGAATGACACCAAAATCCCATATGCAAAATGAAAAAGCAGATAGTAGTTTCAAATAAAGTGAAAATGCTGGTGTTATTTCAGCCTTTTAATTCTGGGATTTTATTTTCCGGATGAAGGCTTGTCAGTTTCTAGTCCCAGCAGCTCAGTGTCTGGTCTTCACTACATGCTTGCTGATGTCAGCCCTGGGGGACCCAGGGTTTAGGAGATGTTTATTCTGTCTTTGCTCTGTCTCCACCTTCTGCTCACATAAAGAGGATATTTAGCTTTATTCATAATATTTTGTCTGCTTACATTCTTATAGGTATCTTGATCCTAATCCGTGGCTCAGAAATTTTAGGAGAAGGGGATAAGTTAGAGTGAAAGAGGCTATATTAAGAAATACAGGATTTTCTATTTTTTTGTAATGTCTACTCAAATTCACAGATGACTGCTCATTACCAGCTTTGGTTATTGTGGTTTATATATTAATGTCTAAAAAAACCCATAAAATCTAATAACATTTTTTCCTGATAGTATGAGAGAAGAATGCCAAGGAGAGGTTTTCTTCCCTACTTGAACAAATATACATTTTCCCTAAGTCCAAAGTTCTGTTTTCCATAATGATTACAGTTCTAATGTATCATGTTAATTCTGAAAATCTGAACTTATGGTTTTAGCAAGTTTCTTCCTAATTCAAATTAGTATTGTATTTAAAATCTAAATTAATAAGCTGTATTTAGTTTTTTTTTCCTAGTAAGCGAGGTCCCTTACCTATCATGTTTCCACCAATGCCTTGTTCCCTTGGCTGACAGATGCCTTTATTTTTGTCTCCTGTAGGATCTTTCGAAGATGGTTTGGCTGCCTTGGAGTTTTGGAGATCTGATGCCACGATGAGGACTCACACACGGGGGGCCCCCAGTGTGTTTTTCATATATTTGCTTTGCTGTGTGTCGGCCTACATCTCCGACAAGAACCCAGAAGTCATGATTCCCTTCACCAATGCCAACTACGACAGCCACCCAATGCTATACTTCTCCAAGACAGAGGTGGCAGAGCTTCAGCTCAGAGCTGCCAGCTCACACGAGCACATTGCAGCCCGGCTCACCGAGGCTGTGCACACCATGCTGTCCAGCCCCTTGGAGTACCTCCCTCCCTGGGATCCCAAGGACTACAGCGCCCGCTGGAATGAAATTTATGGAAACAACTTGGGTGCCTTGGCAATGTTCTGTGTACTGTATCCTGAGAACATTGAAGCCCGAGACATGGCCAAAGACTACATGGAGAGGATGGCAGCGCAGCCTAGTTGGTAGATTTTTGTCTTTTTCTTCTTACTGTATTAACTCTGCAATATAAAGAAATGAATCCAAATGAAATCCAAGAGGCCACATTTTCACATACTTCTTTGTGTGGGGGGTGCGGTGAGGGGGTTTTACTTGTTACTTGTGTTGCCAGTGGCTTATGAATGGCCTGTAGTTTCAAAAGACCTGGTAACTTGCATGTTTAAAGTTAGAAGGAAAATATTTAGATGCAACCTAACTAAAGAAAAAAATATTTTGCCGAATTGTGTAAACAGTTATCATCCTGATTGTTGAGAATTCTTTCCCCCTTGCTTAACATACATATATTACCATCATCTGGTGTTAGGTTTTGATAGATTTCCATGTGGTTAAGACTTTTTGCCAGCAAGAAATTTCAGCTAATTAAGACATATTTGGATTGACAAGGGGCTAAAAGTCAATGTGATGGGATTGATTGGCAATTTATAAATAAGATCCAATCCAATAACCAGATTACACAAACCTGTCGGAAAACCAATGTTGTAGTATAATTGTGTGAGGAATTCTAATTATATAATAATTTACTTGCAGAAGTTCAGAACAACTTTTTGTCCCTTTTTGATTAGCTTAACTTTATTTTGTTTATAATTAATGTTTCCATCTGCTTCCAAAAAATATGGGATGAATTGATTAAACAAGGGATTCTATGAGCATATTTACTTAAACTGTGTTTTAAGACAAATTTTTGGTTCAATTGTGCTAAAAATTTACAAATTATATGAAATATTCTTTTAAAATTACATAAACTGCCACTTGTCATAGGGATGGTGAGAGCTCATTTTTAAATGCTTAGAAAAATCAGTGAATGCACTTAATGCTGTGATGAATTATATCTTATATATCAGAGGTGAAGAATAGTGGTTTGCAAGCTTTCTGATAAATTTCTGGAATTTTGTAATGAAAAAGATTATGAAAGAGCTAGCATTCAATCCATATCAGAGCTGATTTTTTAGACTTATTGTTAAGTATATATATAGTCATTTTAAAGCTGACAATATTTTGATTGGAAAAACTTTTTTATTTGATTTGTTTCAAAGGTCAGTCATGTAAATAGTTCTAATTTTGACTCACATTAACTAATCTTATTCTATTCCTGACACCAAGAAAGAAAATAAAAGATGTATGAAAACTTACTGATATTTGAACTGCAAGATTATATTACTAAACGGTACAGTAACTCATTAATTGATATGTTTAATCTATTAGTTAATAATGGCAGTCATATTTTCATTATTTAGGGAAAAACCTTTGTTGTTTGTAAAGTTACTTTCTCTTTTAAAGTCCTTTTTGTTTTACATAGACAAATGGATTTTGGCAGATTGAGATATTGCTGTAAATGTTCCAGAGCGATACTTACCATGAAAACCCATCAATTTCATCTCACAAGAGAGTAACTGACTCAAATATCATTTTTTTGTGGAGATTTTTTTTAACACAAATACAATAACATTAAGAGAATTGTGCAAGACTAGTATAATTTTCTTATTATAATATAAAACATTCAGGTGTGTAGATACCATTGAATGAATGTTGTCATTAAAGAGGATTAGACTCCTATGATAAAAGAAGAGAAATAAGTAATTTCAAAAACATTTTGATTTTCACATAGTTTCTATAAGTTCAGATTTACTGATCATTGGAGATGTGGAGATATACTAGAGGACTAGTACTTTATTCATGGCAGTATTGATAAAAATATAACTCTGTGCCATTAGCCAGTGGCCCAAAAGCCAATCTTTGACATAAGAGAGGTAGACAGTTGACTTCTCTTGACCTCTAAGAAGCTGAAGATTAGAAATTGAGAATTTACCTCTACATCTGGTTTCTAGTTCCAGAAGTAGCATAAAAAGTTGAGCTATTTACGTATAGCCAAGAGAAAAATTCTTCAAAAAGTGTCAAGAAAATAATAAAATGGAAATAAAAATTAATATTTGTTGTCTGATTAAATAAAACCCAAATTCTTTAGCCTAAAAAAGAAAAAGAAAAGAAAGTTTGAGCTACTTAAGTATTTTGTCTTGGCAGGTACTATTAGGTTGTGCTTTTTAATGATTTTATGGAAATTTTTTTGAAACTACCTCATCCAACCCCTAGACCAGGGGTCCTCAAACTTTTTAAATAGGGGGCCAGTTCACTGTCCCTCAGACTATTGGAGGGCTGGACTATAGTTTTAAGAAAACTATGAACAAATTCTTATGCACACCGCACATATCTTATTTTGAAGTAAAAAAACAAATGGGCAAAAACACCCGCATGTGGCCATAGTTTGAGGACGCCTGCTAGACTCTTAAATTTTTGTTTAGATTCGTGGATGAGCATAATCACTTTTTGAAAAATTTTAAAACACTGTTAAATGTTTTTACAGTTATACTACCTCTCTTTAAATTGCTCAATTAAATCATATGTCCTCACTATGTACAAAGAATAATATTGTGAGTGTTGTCATTGTTTTAGGATATAGTTGACCTATATTTGATTTCAGAAAAAAATAAAAAGACTAGCTCTTATTTACAAAAGAGATCAGTACTTAATATTGTAGAATTAAAAAATACTTCCTACAATGACTTCATCAGACTGAATGCACATGCCATTTTCCTTGAAGAGCATTTCTACTCTTTTGAAAACCAATGACGAAACTGTGTTCATTCACTTATTTATTTAATCACCAGACATTTATTGAATATCTACTGTGTATCATGCACTGTACTGGATGTTGGAGATTCAAAGATGAAGATACAGCCCAGTAATTTTGTACCCAGGGTAAGGGGTGTAAACATTGGGTACTTAAAACCAAGCTAGGAGTATTTCCTCTGTTCAGAATTGAGTTAAGGCTCATTTTGTAAGGGGTTTCATTGGTTTTCATTCATGACTGACTTAAATATTTGTGTCACGCCGCACTCTAGTGTGGTGGGAAAGCACAAGCTCTAGAGTCACACTGCCTGCATTTGAGACCCAGCTCCCCAGCACTTCAACTGTGTTACTTCACGTTAATTTTCTTAATTTGTGTGAGCATTGGTGTCCTGATGTGTAATATGGCAGTAACAGCTATATCTGTCCCAGGGTTGTTAGGAAGATTAAGTGAGATAATCAATGTAAAGTATTTAGCATAGTTCCTATCACATAGTGACCCCTCAATAAATAAGAATAATGACAATAATGATAATTATCGATACCACTATTTTACCTAGTATTTAGATCCTGTTTGGTTTGTAATTTAGTATATGTAGGTTCTAAGGAAATAGTATTTGATTGAAGATTTTACTCATTTTTGTTCAAATTGCTCTCAAAAGTGGAACATCTGTTTAACTCATAAAACTTTCTTTTTGGCTTTGTTCCATGAAAATTTTTAGTGATGGTCCCTTGGGCCCTTTTTTTTATGCACACAGGAATCCAGTGGTAACACCAGTGAAGAAGGCTTGAGGGGAAGTAACAGTGATTGTCTTTGGTGTTAAAAAGAAGTACATGTGAGATATACATTCATACAAGTTTATCAATGTGGTTCATTTTATTTGAGTATTTAGTAAATAAAGAGATTGAAATTCACATCTATAGATTCACTTAAGAATCTTGGGCCATTGTAAAAGAAAAGTTAAAGGAAAAATATTACTTGATTATACTATGTCCGTCTAATGTAGTACAAAGTAGAAAGGAAATCTGATAGATTGATAATGGTGGTGGTGATTGAAAAAAAAAAAACAACAGCATGCATTATAGTTGTGTGTGTCACTGAGTATGTGGATGACTGGGCACCGTAGGAAGTTGAGAATTATCTATGTGCTGTATCTGCTTTTGCAGGGTGCTCATAGCCTCTCGTAGGAGCTCTCTCCTTTGTTCTCCCTTCTGTTGAAGCTCACATATTCTTCATCACAGCAAAAGTTACAGAGTAATTTAAGCTTGTGCTTAACTTGATTCTAAAAATCAAATTTAAAAAAATATTATTTTAACTTAATATATAGTGGCAAATTATTATCAATTGAAAACTATAATGGCAAAGACATCACCAATAATGTCTTTGTTTTCACTCTTTTAATTAAGCCTTTTTTCCCCTATAGATCTTGTCTTCCAAATGAAAGTTAGGATTTGGGTTACAACTGGCTCTGTGTCATATAAAAGCTTGATAAGAACTTAACATACAACCGTTTTTAGAAAGCTTAATGAGTTTAGATCATAAATGTAGGGCTGGTAATAATGGAAAATATATTTTATCACATTCAACTCACTTTTTTTTATAAATCACCAAGACACAGAGGGTACAAATTCTGAGTATGCTAGTTAGTACCATGTAGCCATCCTCATTTGTTATTGGTAACTTTCTGCATTCAATCCTTGCATAGTTTAAAAAAACAAAACAAAACAAAATAAAACAAAAACAGCTGGATTCCAAGTAGGTAAAAATTATCCATCAGTTTTCTTCTCCCAAAAGCTTAAACTTTAAGGTGGGAAAATAATAAACACAGTGCTCAGTGGAGATTTAAAAGGAATTTTTTTAAAAAATCAATTTTTAGTATGTTTTTAGATCAGATATTCTACTTCCTAAAATTTTCATAATATGCTTGTGTATTTTTATTTTACTTTTTTGTACTTATTTCTACTATACCTTTACCCCTGAAGATTAAGGAAACATAAAATACATGATTTACGTTAGAAGTAGCTGAGAAAGATAAGAGGGGGAAGAATAGTTTGGGGATACCTGGACAAGGAATGAGACAATTGCTAAAATGCATCTAACACACCATAAGCAGGCCACAAGTGGGCCCTGATTTTTTTTTTTTTTTTTTTTCTCGTAGCAGCAAAGAAAGTAGGCTTAGTTTTGAAGTTTAGAATGTCCATGAAATCAGTTACTCTGTAGAACTACTCTTGGCCCAGGGGTCAGAAGGAAATTTTTTCTGGGGTTTTTATAAAGAACCCTTACAATTTTCTCATAAGCATCCTTACAGTGTGTGTGTGGCGAATTGCATGGTGTTTTTCTTTA